CAAAGATGATTAGGGGACTGGAGGCTAAAACATGTAAGGAACACCTGCTGGAATTGGGTATGTCCAGTTTAATGAAGAGAAGAACGAGGGGGGACAAGATAGTAGCCTTCTAATATCTCAGGGGCTGCCCCAAAGAAGAGGGAGTCAAGCTATTCTCCAAAGCGCCTGAAGGCAGGACAAGAAGCAACAGATGGAAACTCATCAAGGAGAGAAGCAACCTGGAACTAAGGAGAAACTTCCTGACAGTTAGAACCATTAACCAGTGGAACAACCTGCCTCCAGAAGCGGTGAATGCTCCAACCCTGGAAGTTTTTTTAAAAAGAGACTGGACAGCCCTTTGTCTGAAATGGTATAGGGTTTCCTGCCTGAGCAGGGGGTTGGACTAGATGACCTCCAAGGTCCCTTCCAACTTTACCATTATTATTGTTTATTATTATTTATTAAGACTGCGCCCAGGAGGATTCTGGACCCCGGCCAGCCCATTTGCTCATCCATTTGTGCTGGCCGGGCTCCAGCGTTTTTTAGCTGATTGCTTTGCAAAGAAGCCTTTTCTGAAAGAAAGAGGCTGTTTCCCCAAATAGCCCAGGCAGGGACACTTTTTGCAAAGTGTGTAAGAGGAGAGAGGACAAGGCAAGGGAGAAGGGGGAAGGAAAGTCCCGCCTGCAGTGGTCCAGAGGCTTCGTGGTCAACTGAACGTGCCGGATCACTTCCAGGCCATGAGGGGACACCAGGAACAAGCCAGGAACGTCCTGGGCGTTCAGCTGCCTTGCTGTGCAAGAGACAAGGTGTTCCCTCGAAGCATTCTGGTTCCCTTCATCCCCTGGTGAGCAGCGCAAGGCCTCCGGCAAGCTCTGTGCAAGGTGGCATTGTGCAAAGGAGAAAGAAAGGGAAGGAAGGGAAGGAAAGGAAAAAGGAAGGAAGGAAGGAAGGAAGGAAGGAAGGAAGGAAGGAAGGAAGGAAGGAAGGAAGGAAGGAAGGGAGATCGGGAATGAGAAGGTGATGTGTAGGAGAAGATGTGGTATAACCTCCCTTGAATCTGGTCTTTTGTGAAGGAAGAAAGGAGGAAGGAAGGAAGGAAGGAAGGAAGGAAGGAAGGAAGGAAGGAAGGAAGGAAAGAAGGAAGGAAGGAAGGAAGGAAGGAAGGAAGGAAGGGAAGGAAGGAAAGGAAGGAAGGAAGGAGTCCACTTTTTTTCTTTTGCAGGAGAAAGGCCTTTTGAAATTTGATTAGAAGAAGAGAAGAGAAGAGAAGAGAAGAGAATCAACAGAGAATAGAATAGAATATAATAGAGTAGAATCAATAAAGAATAGAATAGAATAGAATAGAAAAGAATCAATAGAGAATAGAATAGAACAGAAATAATAGAATAGAATAGAATCAATATAGAATAGAATAGAATAGAATAGAATAGAATCAATACAGAATAGAATAGAACAGAAATAAGAATAGAATAGAATATAGAGAATAGAAGAGAAGAGAATCAACAGAGAATAGAATAGAATAGAATATAGAGAATAGCAGAGAAGAGAATAGAAGAGAAGAGAATCAATAGAGAATAGAACAGAATAGAAATAATAGAATAGAATAGAACAGAATAGAATAGAATAGAATCAATATAGAATAAAATGGAATAGAATACACTAGAGTAGAGTAGAATAGAATAGAATCGAATCAAGAGAGAATAGAACAGAACAGAAATAGTTACAACAGCACTGAGAAAAGTGACTCACAAATGTCCCTCGTACATACGGCCATCGCAACATCCCCATGGTCACATGGTCAAAATCCGGACTCGTGGTCTGTGTTTATGACAGTTGCCGGGTCCTGGGGGTGACGTGTTCCCTTTTGCAAAGGTCTGATGGAAAAACTCAATGGGGGAAGTCAGGTTCGCTCAACCCCCACTAATTCGCTTAATAACTACAATGATTTGCTTAACCACCACGGCCAAAGAGGTCGCAAAACGGGGCATGACTTACTTAACCACTGCCTTGCTTAGCAAGGAAAATCCTGGCCCCCTTTGGGATCATTAAGCGGGGTATTATCTGTAAGGGAGTGTGGAAGGGAAAGTCTTCATCGTGGTTCAGTCCAAGCTGGGAAGAAACAACATGGCGACTGCTTTAGAAAGAAGGATGCAGTTTATTGGAGAGGAGAGCCAGACAGAAAGATGGCTCTAGAAGAAAAGAGAGAGAGAGAGCACATGTAGGGAGTGGGGTTTTATACCCTCTGGAGCCTTTTGTTTGGAGTTGTTCCTGTGGCATGAACTTTGACCAGAGTCTGAGTGTGCCTTTCTGGTATCCTGATGGTGGTGGGTTAATCCTATGATGTCCCAAGGGTCATATCCTGCTTCCCTGGGGCTGGGGCTGATGACTGTTGGATTTTTTGGGTGTTGATTCTAGAGATCTTTTTTCCTAATCTCAGTTTCGTGACTCCAGTCTTTCTGACGAGACAATCACATCTGCAATTCTGCAGACCTGGTTTCTGTTTGGCACAGAGAGACTTGGGGGGGGGGTTGGTTTCTGCTTTTAAAATCCTTTAGGGCAGCGGTTCTCCACCTGTGGGTCGGGACCCCATTTGGGGTCGAACGACCATTTCACAGAGGTCGCCAAACAACGCAGTCCGCCATTTTTCCCCCCTTTTCCTTAGCTGTGCTACTCCCTTTGATTCTATTGGCTTTGGAAAGCCAATAGAATAGCCTCTCTTGAATAGAGTCTAATTCTATTGGCTTTCAAAAGCCAATAGGAATTGTCCAGGCTGTCTCTGCCCTGCTGAGCCCTCCAAAAGTCCCATTCTGCAAACGGTGCTGCACCAGTTGAGTAGTCCTCGACTTACGACCGGTTGAGTAGTGCTTGACTTACGACCGGTTGGGGGTCACGGCATTAAAAAGGTTGAGAACCACTGGTATAGGGAAATACATTTTGGGAAATATTTAAAAGGCAGAATGTATTTCTGCCTTTTAAATATTTCCCAAAATATTTCTTTCTCTGGGGGGGGGGGGCTGCCTTCCCACAGGAGGCAAAGAGAAGCCTCTTTTCCAGGATGGAAGAATTGTAGGGTGGGGTTTGGGGCAAGGAAACCCCCCCCTCCCTGCTTGCACCCGTCTCCGCAGAGATGTTCTCCGGCTGCAGCCGGCGGGAACGGCGAAGGACCCGGAAGGACGGAACCGCAGGCGGTCCGTTGTGCCTGATCACGGGTGGTTTGCACGAGCTTCTGGCTCTCGAGTGCTGCAGCTCTTAGGATTGTGAGTGTTGAAGCACAACTGGAGTGTTGGAAGGCAGCCCAAGGAGACCAGAACAGCTTCCTCCAAGATCTGATGTCAGGTTAAGAGCCATTTATTTTATTTATTTATTTTGGCTCTGGTGCAAAAACAAGAACTCTGACCCGCTGATTGATTCATTTCAGGGATTCTGAAGAATCGGAACAAATTTGAAAAATTAGAATGAGGAGGAAGCTGAGAGCAGCTCCTCCTCCTCCTCCTCCAACTCCTCCTGCATCTCCTCCTCCACCACCAGCACCTCCTCCTCCTCCTCCTCCTCTTTCCTCTTCTCCACAAACCTCCTTCCATTCTAGCACTGATTGTGTTACGTAGCTGGGTAATGAAACGCCTGCAAAAAAAATCACCAAGCTGAGAGATTACCAAGGACCCCACAGTCGTCGTCCTCCTCCTCCTCCTCCTCCTCCTCCTCCTCCTCCTCCTCCTCCTCCTCCTCCTCCTCCTCCTCCTCCTCCTCCTCTTCGTCTCCAAAACCCCTAGCATTGATGATGTTCCCTAGTTGGGTCATGAAATGTGTGCAAGAAAACCACCCAGCTCAGAGAGCACCAAGGACCCTACAGTCATTCTCCTCCTCCTCCTCCTCCTCCTCCTCCTCTTCCCCCTTCTCCTCCTCTTCCTCCTCCTCCTCTTCCTCCTCCTCCCTTTTACAACTGATGATGTTCCCTAGTTGGGTCATGAAACGTCTGCAAGAAAACCTCCAAGCTCAGAGAGCAACAAAGATGCTACAGTCCTCCTCCTCCTCCTCCTCCTCCTCCTCCTCCTCCCTCCTCCTCCTCCTCCTCCTCCTCCTCCTCCTCCTCCTCCTCCTCCTCCTCTTCTCCATACACTTTCATTTCTAGCACTGATGATGTTCCTTAGTTGGGTCATGAAATGTCTGCAAGGAAAACCAACGAGAGAGCACTAAGGACCCCACAGTCCGTCGTCTCGTCCTCCTCTCTCCTCCTCCTCCTCCTCCTCCTCCTCCTCCTCCTCCTCCTCCTCCTCCTCCTCCTCCTCCTCCTTTCCACAATGCCCCCTCCCTTCTAGCACTGATGATGTCACCTTGTTGGTTCATGAACTGACGTATTCCAGGTGTGGCCTTACTAGGGTTTTATGAACCGGTACTAGTACTTCTTGTTATCTTCATTCTATGCCTCTGTTTATACAACCCAGTATTGTGTTAGCTTTTTTGGCTGCTGCCGCAGACGGCCCGCTCACGAGGACTCCAAGGTCCCTCTCACAGTGGCTGTATTTGAGCCAGGTTTCTCCCAGTCTCTATTTGTGACTTTGGTTTTTCCTGCCTAGGTGTAAAACTTTGCTTTTCTCCACCTTGAAACGCATTTTGTTGCACAGGGCCCATTGTTCAAGTTCATCAAGATCTTTGACCCCCCCCCCTCGCCCGCTTCCTCCTGGAACCTGTTGGGGGGGGGGGGATGTCTTCTGCCTTCCACCCCTAAAATGAGGGTGGGCACTTAATCAAGATGTTTGGAAGAGGTCTTGGGCCCAGTTGACTCCCAGACCAGCCGGGGGGCCATTCCCGTTCATTTAGCTTAGATCAGCGTTCCTCAATCCCAACCTGGCACTAAGGAGGAATTTCCTGAGAGTGGAGGACAATTAACCAGTGGAACCACTTGCCACCAGAAGTTGTGGGCACTCCAACACTGGAGGCTTTCGAGAAGAGACTGGACAGCCATTTGTCTGGAATGGGGTAGGGTCTCCTGCCTGAGCAGGGGGTTGGACTAGATGACCTCCAAGGTCTGATTTCTCTTCAGATCCTATAAATCTTTTGCCTTTTACTCAAGATTTCCATGGAGATGAACACATATGAGTTTATAGCTAACTTTTCGAGACTTTCATGCTGCAAACCACGCAGAGTCACTTCAGAACAAAAGAGGTGGCAAATAAGTTTAATAAATAAAATAAGAATCAATAAAACGAGCTCCTTTCCCACTCTGTTATTCTCTGTTCTTTGTGTTTACATTCAAAAGTTATTTTCTCTTTGGCTTCTTTTTCTTTCCCACTGGTAGGTTCAAGAAAACACACACATACACACACACACACACACAAACACACCTTGGCTCATGTTTGTTGGCTCGCTTATTTATCCTTTAATTTTATTTACAGCTTTCTGCTGTTCTTCACCCCCGTTTCTCCTCTGTACATCCGACGAATAAAAGGCAGCCGTTCTCGTTTCCTTTGAAATATACAAAATATTTCTCGTAGGATTCTCGCCACATTGTCCCCACATGTGGCCTTGTTGATGCAATGAGAGTGGGTTTTTTTTCCCCCTTTATTGGCATATTTGGCAGTGCACCGAGATCTCAGGTGTTCAGGGCCAAACACAATGATGCAAAAGGATGGAAATCGCGCAGCGACTCACAATGCAAAACGCAGCTTTTTCGTACTTCCAAGGCGAGGTTGGGCCGAACGTTCTGAGTCAGAGAGCGGACATCACAATTTTGCAATGCAGGTTGTCGTTTTGTCTCACTCCAGTCTGCCCTGCACAGATTTGCAGGCAAGATTTCAAGGGAGGTCTTGGACCAAGCCAAGAATCTGCCTTTGATTGACTTTACTCAGCCTCTCAGCTGTTAAGAACGGCTTTGGTCAACCTGGGCAACTGGAAGACAGGTGGACTTCAACCCCCAGAATTCCCTGCTGGCCGCAGTTCACGCTCTTCCAGTGGCCGAGGTTGGCTGACTGGGGAATTGTGGGAGTTGAAGTCCACCGATCTGAAAGTGACAGGTCACAGTGACATTCATGCTGGCCATGTAGATGGATGGATAGATGAATAGATGAATTGATGGGTGGATGGATGGAAGATGGATCGATAGATAGATGAATAGAGAGAATGATGGATGGATAGATGATAGATAGATAGATACAGATTAATAGATAGATGATAGATGAGATATAGATATATAGACTTAGATATTATATATATATATATATATATATATATATAGAGAGAGAGAGAGAGAGAGAGAGATATGGATGATTGATGGATAGATAGGTGATAGATGAGATGATAAATGATAGGATAGATGATAGATAGATAGACAGATTAATAGATGATAGATTAGATATAGATATATAGAGAGACAGATAGATGGATTTGATGGATAGATAAGTGATAGATGAGGATAAATGATAGATGATAGATTAGATATATAGATATATAGATATAGATATAGATAGATGATAGAAATAGATATAGATAGATAGAGATAGATAGATAGATAGATAGATAGATAGATAGATAGAGATAGGTAGATAAATAGATATATAGATAGATGATAGAAATCAATATAGATAGATATCAAGATAGAGATAGATAAATGATAGAGCTATACTGTAGATAGATGATAGAAATAAAAATAGATAGAGAGATATATAGATAGATGATAGAAATACATACAGATAGATAGAAATAAATATAAATAGATAGATAGAATAGATAGAGATAGATAGATAAATGATAGAGCTATACTGTAGATAGATGATAGAAATAAAAATAGATAGAGAGATATATAGATAGATGATAGAAATACATACAGATAGATAGATAAATAGATAGATAGATAGATAGATAGATAGATAGATAGATAGATAGATAGATAGATAGATACGTGATAGATAAATGATGGATGGATAGAAGAATAGATAAATAGATAATGGATGGATGGATGAATGGATAGATAGGTAGACAGACGGACAGACAGACATTAAAGGACCCCTTGTCCAAACAAAGAAGACCCTCCCTCCCCCCACCTCCCTGAAGCAGGCCACGGAGGGAACGTGGCTGATTTGGGGCCCTGCAGGCTGAAACTCTTGGAGCCGTCAGCGCTGCGCAAGGGCCCCGGGGACCTCCCTGGGCAAGAAGGGGCAGCCCCCCCCCCATGGCTCTGGAGACGCTGTTACCAGCCTGTGTTCTGAGCAGCAGCGGCCTCCAAGGGCCCAGTCATAAATTAGCCTCTTGGGGCAGGTGGCTCCTTCTGGAGGCCGATGGCTTCATTCAGCCTGGAAAATCTGAGCCCATTCAGGTTTCTCTCCCAGGGAGGGGAGGGGAGGGGAGGGGAGGGGAGGGGAGGAAGGAGAGGGAGGGAGGGAGGGAGGAGATGGAAAAAGGAAACAAGGGAGGAAACAAGGGAGGGAGGAGTGAGGAAGAGGAGGGAAGGGATGAGATGGAGGGAGAAAGGGAGGGAGAAAGGGAGGAGATGGAAAAAGAAAGGAAGGAAGGAAAGAAGGAAGGGAGGAGCAAGGGAGAGGAGGGGAAGGGAGGAGATGGAAAAAGGAAGGAAGGATAAGAGAAAAAGAAGGATATGGGAGAAAGGGAAGGAGGAAGGAAGAATAAGGAGAGGAAGAGGGAAGGAACAAGGGAGGAGGGAAAGGGTGGAAGGTACAGGAGGGGAGGGAGGAGATGGAAGAAGGAAGGAAGGAAGGAAGGAAGGAAGGAAGGAAGGGAGGGAGGGAGGGAGGAAGGAAGAATAAGGAGAGGAAGAGGGAGGGAACAAGGGAGGAGGGAAAGGGTGGAAGGGACAGGAGGGGAGGGAGGAGATGGAAGAAGGAAGGAAGGAAGGAAGGAAGGAAGGAAGGAAGGAAGGAAGGGAGGGAGGGAGGGAGGGAGGGAGGAAGAATAAGGAGAGGAAGAGGGAGGGAACAAGGGAGGAGGGAAAGGGTGGAAGGGACAGGAGGGGAGGGAGGAGATGGAAGAAGGAAGGAAGGAAGGAAAAAAGGAAAGAAGGAAGGAAGGATAAGGAGAGGAAGAGATAGGGAGCAAGGGAGGAGATGGAAATAGGGAGGAAGGAAGGAAGGAAGGAAGGAAGGAAGGAAGGAAGGAAGGAAGGAAGGAAGGAAGGAAGGAAGGAAGGAAGGAAGGAAGGCAAGAAGGCCTAGGAGCATCATTGTGGTGCTGTTTTTCCATCAGCTCCTGGTCTACTGGCCATAGTTACCACTTCTCTCCGTGTCATCTCCTCCTCTGTCTCCACCCCTCCCCCTCCCTAAGAGCATCCTAAATCTCCCCCCATCCTTCCCAGCCGCACACACCCATGGACCACATGTCCTGGGCTCTCCTCCCAGTAGGGCGGATTCCACCAGAGGCCCTGCTGTAGCCCACCCTTAGGAGCAGTATCCTCCCTGACGGGCAGAGAGCAACTCTTTAAAGCCTGTTGCACAAACAACACAGCCAGGTTTTACAATTCACTCTCTCCCCCTCCCCAGACACACACACACACACACACACACAAACACACCTCCTTACCAGATGAAGGAAGCACCACACACCTGCGGCTGGCAGCTGAGCATAAGGTTGGCACCCACCTCAGGTTTCATTAAGTTGTGAAGGACACCGTGTTCTGTTCTAGCAAACCCACAAGTTTTGACACCCTGCCAGGAAAGCAGTTCTGCTCTCTCTAGCTTGCAAACTTCATAGAATAGAATAGGGCTGGAAGGGACCTTGGAGGTCTTCTAGTCCAGCCCCCTGCTCAAGCAGGAGACCCTATACCGTCTCAGACAGGGGGATGTCTAGTCTCTTCCTCCAGTGATGTGATGTGATGGGATGGGATGGGATGTGATGGGATGGGATGGGATGGGATGGGATGGGATGGGATGGAATGGAATGGAATGGAATAGAATAGAATAAAGAAAAAATTAGAATAGAATAGAATAGAATAGAGTAGAGTAGAGTAGAGTAGAGTAGAGTAGAGTAGAGTAGAGTAGAGTAGAGTAGAGTAGAGTATAATAGAATAGAACAGAATAGAATAGAATAGAAAATAGAATAGAATAGAATAGAATAAGAAATAAAATAGAATAAGAAATAGAATGGAATAGAACAAAGAAAGAATAGAATAGAATAGAATAGAATAGAATAGAATAGAATAGAATAGAATAGAATAGAAAATAGAATAGAATAGAATAAGAAATAAAATAGAATAAGAAATAGAATGGAATAGAACAAAGAAAGAATAGAATAGAATAGAATAGAATAGAATAGAATAGAATAGAATAGAATAGAATAGAATAGAATAGAATAGAATAGAAAATAGAATAGAATAGAATAAGAAATAAAATAGAATAAGAAATAGAATGGAATAGAACAAAGAAAGAATAGAATAGAATAGAATAGAATAGAATAGAATAGAATAGAATAGAATAGAATAGAATAGAATAGAATAGAAACTGGAAGGGACCTTGGAGGTCTTCTAGTCCAGCCCCCTGCTCAAGCAGGAGAACCTATACCATCTCAAGACAGGCGAATGTCTAGTCTCGTCTTAAAAACCTCCAGTGATGGAGTGCCCACAATGTCTGGTGGCAAGCAGTTCCACTGGTTTGATTGGCCTCACTGTCAGGAAGTTTCTCCTTAATTCCAGGTTGCTTCTCTCTTTGATCACTTTCCAGCCATTGTTTCTCCTCCTTCCCTCTGGTGCTTTGGAGAATAATTTGACCCCCTCCTCTTTGTGGCAGCCCCTCAGATATTGGAACGCTTCTATCATGTCTCCCCTCTTTCTTCTTTTCTTTAAACTGGCTAAACTCAAGTCCCGCAGCCGTTCTTCGTATGTTTTAGCCTCCAGGCCTTGGATCATCTTAGCTGCTCTTCTCTGATTTTTTTTCCAAACTCTCAACATCTTTTTTGTGATAAGGTGACCAAAATTGGCTGCAGCATTCCAGGTGTGGCCTCATTAGGGTTTTATAAAGCGGTGCTAATACTTCACATGATCTTCATTCTATGCCTCTGTTTATGCAACCCAGGATTGTGTTAGGTTTTTTGCCTGCTGCTGCACACGGCTGGCTCACGGTCAAGGGATCGTCTACTAGGACTCCAAGGTCCCTCTCACAGTGGCTGTTTTTGAGTCAGGTCTCGCCCAGTCTCTAT